TCATTAAACCCGAAACATGAAATAAATTTCCGATGAAACTTTATGCTTCATATTGCGTCCTTCAAAGCGAATTTGAAAACGTCCGTAAAACAACATTCGTCTCAAAGTGACAACCCTGTGTCATTCCAAGGCCAAGGACCCGGTGAAAAGGTAGCTACGGACGGAAGAGGTTACAAAAATTGAAGTTAACAGCCTCGAGAAAGCGTAACAGCCTTCGGCAAACGTAACGCAATTCTCAAAGACTGATTAGTATTAATTTAAGGGCTATTGTAACATTACAATACTTATAGTTCCTTTCGTTGTTTATTTGCATTACTTACTTTATATCAGTGGCTTAGCCAGGAGGGAGCTAAGGGGACTGCAGCCCCTTCCGAAACTAATTTTCTGGGTTACGCTAAGTGTGAGAACAATTTTTTCGAACGACCTTTTTTGCTCGTCAAAAATAAAAAATGCAGCCTTCCTCAAAACTTTTTTCTGGCTACGCCACTGCTTTGTATGTATTGTATTTATATTTCATTTTGATTGAAAAGAACTTGTGACGTCGATGACCAATTATTATCTTCGGGCTGTAATATATTTGTTAAAACCCAGTAAATAATCTGTGCGCAGACTGACGTCAGATTGGCAACAGGATCTGTCGAATTCGAGCAGGATCTATCGATAGATCCATAGTCATCTGCGTCCCCAATCTGCCGTCAGACTGCTGACAGAATCTGCTAACAGATTCTGACATCAGATTAGCGGCAGATTGCACGCAGTCTGCCAACAGACTCTGACGGCAGATTGCGCGCAGATTGCGCACAGATTGCACGCAGATCCTGTCGTTTCGTACGTTCTTCAATTAAATTTTTTGTAGAAAATTTTCTCATAATTTTTCATAATTACTCATAGAATAAACGCTTTCTCATAAATACTCATAAATACTTGTAAAATACAATGAAAAAAAAAGGTTCTCTATATTATTTTTTCATAATTTTTAAGATTTTCTCTGGTGAAATTCGAACTTGAACCGAAGACATCTTTTGGATAATCGTCTGTCGCCTTAGACACTACGCCAATTCCTCACTTGATAAAAAGTGATAAAATACAAGTCATTCCTTAAAGTTTAAGGAAGAAAAATCTTAGAGTTTGTTCGCCTTTTAAACCGCAAAATATAGACAAAACCATTTAGAGTATAAATAATGTAAGAGAGACCGGCATGATAATTCGAAATTAATTTTCTACCAAGGACCGTAGAAAATTACTGCAATAAAACAGCAGATAATGACATTTTTCTATCATGCTAATAAAATGTGCTTTTACATGTGCGAATTAATTTAGTCGATTGTCCAGTTCAGATTGTATTAAATTTTATCAAAATCGAAGCATGATATATTTTCAAATAAACCATCACAAAAATTCTGTAAGTTATTTACACGGCAAGACTATTTTATTCGGTGCTGCTGCTTTCAATACTTATTGCATAACGGTTAAATCGTACAGATTTAATGACATAATGACATTAAAAAAGAATAATATGAGAAATTGTATGAAAAATTATGAAAACAATTTTTACCAGGGATGGTATATGTACGTCTTTAAATGGCTATTTAAACTGGCTATTTAACTGTTGTACTATTCTATATTTATACTCGTTATTTCTCTATTATTGTTGCTTTTTTATAAGAAATGTGTAATACAATTTTAAAAGGCAAAAATTGTTTTTTATTGTGTATATATATACAATTATTGCACAATATAATTATCTTGACTCCTCTCGGAGTTTTACATGGTGTGTATGTGAAACTGCCCCATTTAACCCTTATAGAAATATCATACTAAGAATCATTGATAATTACTTATTATCCAGTATTTTTAATACTGAAAATAAGTAATTATCAATGATTCTTAGTATGATATTTCTATAAGGGAATAGCGTACATATAGCCCTTGATAGAATTAAATAGCCTATCTAGGAAATAGAATCTGCGCGCAATCTGCCGTCAGTCTGTCGACAGGCTCTGCGGGCAGTCTGTCACCAATCTGTCGTCAGAACAGATTCTGTGTGCAATCTGTTGCCATTCCGTCTACAGACACTGTTGACAAACTCTGCGCAAAATCTGCTCACGCAGATTGGCTATCTGGGTACTTTCCTAAGTTATCTTCATTGTATCTAGTTTTCATTGCATACCTGCTTTACAATGTTAATCACATGCTTGTTTGAGCTTGTGTGTTACAGTAAATGTGCCATTTGGACTATCTAGCATCATCTAGCGGTGTCGAGAACAGACTCGTTACATTTAACTGGTTTAAATCTCGGCTAAGTCTCAGTAAACATCAACTCGCAGTAAAATTATATGAATTGTTTATAATTTCCCACTCAACAATGAAACTGTTATATAACACACATACAATACATTATAATATATTTACATTAAAGTGAGAAATTATAACATTAATATTATATTACTGATAATTGATGTTTACTTATAATTAGGCAGAATCTGTGTCTTGACTAAATGATTCATTAGTTCATTAACTCAGTATTACAGTCTTTGTTACAGTGTTTGTCACCATCGTTTTTTTCGAAAGATCGAAATCGCGATATGATTAATGGCAATCAGCCACTATACATCTATTGCCAAGTAGGTCGATCAGAGAATTATCAAGCAGTATAATTCAACGACGGATCTTTATTTTCAAGTAGATGCTTCTACATATACGTGTATTGTCGTTAAAAATTGTCGTTAAAATCGAAGTAGAAACTAGTAGACCAATTCTATAACTTTAGAACAATGATGTCGCTAGCATGGTGTGTCTTATACTATTCTAAGCAATTACAATTTAAATTTATTACAATTCTAAGCAGAATCATAAGTCTCGTATAAAGTGAGAAGTCTCGTGAGAAAGTTGATTTGGAACGTAGCCTCACTGGCTACGTTCCAAAACTCTATTCGACGGGTAGAGTAACATTTAATTGATAGAGCAAAGATAACTAGGATTTCTTTATTATGATTGGACAATTAAATTACTCTACCCGTCGAGTAAAGTTTTTGAACGCAGCCACTGAAATATATATTAGGTTGCGTTCAGATTCCCTACCCGGTGCATTCTAATACTAGAAGTGCTATAGTATATGTAACATATACTATAGTGTTTCTAATTTCTAGTAAGAGTGCACCCGGATGAGGAATTTGAACGCAGCCTTGAGTGTTGCGGGATGAGAGAAAGCATGCTTGTAGACAGGGTACGCATAATACCTCACGTTTTATGCGTAAAATTTTATATGCAGAAGACTCGAGTATAATCTACGCAGATACCTAAATGAGGTTTTCTGCTGCATAAAACTTCTTTTAGAGCTATTTTACAATTGCGTAAGCGTGGTCGTAAATAGTTGTAAATCATTACGACAGTCAAAATAAAGTAATCAATGAATAAAACATTCTGATTGGTTGACTTTATAACTGTTTTGTATATAAAACAAAGCATAAATATTTGTCCATGATCATGAAAAACATGAAATTGTGAATCTAGTTCATCGTTGTATTCCATTTTTTAATTTCTTTATGTCTACATGTACATACAGATGTATTAATGCAACTGATTCAAGAGCAGTGAGTAGGATTGTACTTAGACAGAAATGAAAAGTCGAGTCGACGTCGATTCGACTTTTCATTTCTGGCTGGGTAGGTTATTTTAGAAAGCTTGGTTCGCTCGTCTGGGGGCACGTATATGTCCCTAGGATCCTTTTCGAACTACTAATTTTTTTGCGAAGTCGTTTCGGTGGTGCGCTATAGGGAGTTTTTGCAATTCCGTATTTTAGATACGGTAAACACTGAAGTCACGTGACTTCATACCGTATTCCGTTTTTACGTCGCCTACTTCAAAAGAGTTTTTGCACGGTGAATATTACAGTAACGTACGATAAAACAATATCCTACACAATCTGCAATCATTTTCCATTTTTCACTTTCTTTATATGGATTTTGGGATATAATCTCCCTTAAAAGTATGAGATCATCTTGACTTGTGAATCTCAATCATTCAGATTTCATTTTGGTAGTCGACGTTACTCGTAAACGATATTTTTCAGAAATAACGTTCGCATGTTATCTGAATAACGTTAAAATAACCGATGCGCATGCGCAGTTTGGTCTTTTGATTCGATGACGTCATTTTATATCCATATGAAGAGAGTGAAAAATGGAAAACGATTGCAGATCGTGTAAGATACTGTTTTATCGTACGTTACCGTAGCATTCACCGTGCAAAAACTCTTTTGAAGTAGGCAATGTAAAAACGGAATACGGTATGAAGTCACATGACTTCAGCGTTTACCGTATCTAAAATACGAAATTGCAAAAATTCCTTAATATCATACTCCGCTTGCGGTAACTTTAAAGTCGGTACACATATAGACCGCTTTTATTTTTAAGATCGTCTAATGCCCAATTTCTTCACCTCCGGTTAACTTTATCTGCCAGTTATTATATTGGAATTGACCAATCATATTTATGGTTGGCAAGATTAACCAATCACGGTTGACATTTGTCCGACAGATAAAGTTAACCGGAGGTGAAGAAATTGGGCATAAATTCATCTTCAGTTGCTGTACGAGTTATTTCATTGGCTGCGTTCAACAGAGAAAGCTGCTTTACAACTGTGTAAAATTCGTGAATCTGATTGGTACATGCTCTTGGATTTAACCAAAATTAATCATACTCCAATCAGATTCACGAATTTTATAACAGTTGCAAAGCAGCTTTCTCTGGCTGCGTTTTCACTGCTAGTACTGAAATTCTATAGTATATGTGACATGAACTATAGATTTTCAATACTGGAAGTGAATGTCGGAACGCAGCCATTGGTTATGGAGTATCTGACGACTTAAGATAATCTTAAACATAAAAGCGAAAGAAAGACTATGGATGCCGGCCTAAGAATCCCGTGTAATCGCAAATGTGTTTCAAGCCACTCTCCGATTGGTAAAATAAAGACAGAACACGCCAAAGGCAAATTGCTTTAGAAAGCACGAGCCAATCGAACAGCTTGTCTCACGCATTCGCATTGTCCGACTATGCTGCCTTATTTTAACCACCTATAACAACCTATATCTGCCACTTCTAACCTGAAGACCTGGTAGTAAACACAACAATTCTAGACCCGTATCACCAAGAGCAATATATTAATTAATTTTAGCGTTATTAAGCGTACGTAGTTAGAAACATTATGGTAAGTCTTCGATACGTTCTCGATGTTCCGTTCGCTTTATTACGATTCTCATAGTGCTGAGAGTAGACTAACCTTCAAAGCCACTTTCGACGTTTCGATTTGCAGGACGTATTTTTAATGATTAGGCGAAAGAACATGACAATATTTACTGACGCAAAGGATGACACAACTGTCCTAGAGTTAAAGAAGATGATAGAAGGTAAGAATACACATGTGTCTCAGAAGAAGCAAAACATTAGTATTTTTTTAGCATGTCCTTTAGTGTAATTTGCAATTAAACGATTGTTGTTTCGATAGACAGAAAGAGAGAAGAATGTTACTTTTAATATTGAAATTGATTTATATAGGTATATTGAAAGTACCACCTCTAAACCAACAACTATTTAACAAGGACAACACCATAATGAGTGACAGCAAGTTTTTATCGGATTATGGACTAACATCGTTAACTGCAAAGGCACAGTGCCCTGCGTTAGTGGGCTTAGCTTTGCGTCAAGATAATGGCCAATTTGAAACTCTTGAAATGACGCCGTTCTCACTACCACCAGATCTTCCTGATGTAATGAAATCACAGGAAGCTAATGGTCAAGAACAATCTCCTTGAAATGACATGAATGATATCGCATCAGTTGACGACAAAGCGTTGTGTTCGATGCAAACTAGTAACTTATCAAAGCAGCTTTGAATGATAAAGCAGAAAAAAAACAAGGAAGTCTATGCAGGTATCAAATATTAGATACATTCAACTTCACACACAGATACTTGGAGTTTCAAATTTTTCCCAACACCTTTATTGAAGATGCTCTGTAGTCGCGCAGTCTTCGGTTTTGTAAAAGAGTGGACAAGTACCAATTTGTACTTGAATATTATTAGACTGAAGGTGATAATAAAGTTAAAATCATGCTTACTACATCATGCATTAAACCAAATTTATATTGTAGCAATGAAATATATATATATATATACATATATATATATATA